TTAATTCCATTTCGTTGGGTAACCTTATTACCACAAAACCAGCCATATCTATTGAATCGTAAGAGGTTGCCATGTGTGTCCAGAATTTTCTGTACCACCCACAGAAGTAGTTTAGCATGCTGAGTCGTATATCACACAGCGTCATATGTGGCTTGGACCCACAAAGGTAAATGACGTTAACTCATAAAATATCGCATTTTAAACGCTATTTCATACAACTAATCGAAGAAATCGTGGAAAAGTAATTGTCAAACAAAATTTGGCTCAAAATTTTGAGAAGAAGACATATTTGTTACCAGCGAATTGGTCGGTATTCGAACGAGTCCTCGATCAAATTCTTTTCTAGCTAACTGTCTTTCATTCCCCTTCTCCCCCCTTTACAAGCTGGAAACTGAAAAATGATCCATAAATTTCGGATAAACCAAAGAACCTCTCATCTTCTTCCGAAAAATCTAATTTATATTCGTCAGAGTTGGGCCGAGACTCCCCACATTCATCCCAAAACAATTCAGAGATATTTTCCCGTTCGTTCGCTTGGGGGGTTATTTTTAAGTTAAAGTCGGTCCGAAATATTTCCGTGTACAATATGTATCTTGACAAAGCACTCATTCGAATCTCTATCGAAGGTTAATTCGATAAGAACAGAAACTAAACTTTGATCTTAGCCAAAAGGCCGAGAAGCGATCTCATGCCTGCTTGAAATGAATAAACTATTTGATTTCATGCTAATAACTGTCTAAAAATAGCTGTTGATTCGAATTTCTCCAGAACAAACATCCAAACACCCAAAAATTGTGTGCGGAGCCGTGTTTTATGGCAGGACATGACCCAGTCCGATCAGCCCCGAAAATGACAAAGGCAGGTCACCAGAGATGATAAGCGACAAGATTCATTCGGTATGTAAATAGCCACAACTGTAGTTATTAGACAAGATGGATATCTTTGAGGCCTCCTGAAGAGTTTGCCCTTCGATAAGCCTCATGTAATCGAGATCAATGACAAGACGGATTATGCGTTTAGTACTGGCTCATTGTTACAGTGGCTAAGAATCAAATGCGATATGCGCAACTGATGACAAGATGATCATCGTCCGGGACGGAAAGCCGGATTCACGATACCGCCACTTTCGATCATTTCCCTCATGATACGTTCGAGGGCTTTCAGATCACGTCTGGGTCGAGTAGCTGAAAACGAGACGTTGAATGGGACGAGCATGTAGGCGCCGAGAAGCGGGAAGAGCAAAAATGAAGTCATGAGTAACTTACAGAATAGGGGAGAACATTGACTGAAGAATACCAAAGTCAATAGTAAAACCATAGCGAAAAGTAGTCGTTTCATAGTGGCTGCTACTTCTGTCGGTTACGGTATATGTGAGTATAGCTCGGTTGCTGGTTGAACGGACGGTCAATAGCACTCGAAATGGCTTTATAAAGAGACTACGACGTTATCAGCGTCTTGGACTAATATTATCAAGCGTCCGTCGGCGAATACCTGAAATGCCTGGAAGCGACGCAGTAAATAACTTCAGCGAAGTTAAAGCTCTGTACAGATAAGCGGTGGCGAGAAGCCGACGACGTACTGGCACAACCAAACTACTGTCGACGAACCGTCAAAGACGAGCGGTTATCAATGAAAGAATGTCAGGAATGCGTGAAGTGAATCAAAAAACGATTAGATAAAATTGGAAAAGCTCAAGAATGCATCGCCATTACTGTAACTGTCCATTGCCATGGCACAGTATGCTTACAATTAGTCATGGCTTTCGCAGTTCATGGAGGAATTTGCGGTGGTGGCTAGTGGCGCCGCTACAACGCTCATGATCCGAAGGATCTCGTCCAGGCCAACGCAACTTCACAAACTCCAATCTGTCACTGCTAGACCTACAGCAGTGATCCAAATAGCTGCTGACCCTGTCAGGTCCTTGCTAGGTCTTATGCCAGGTACGTGTTCCATTCAGTCATTTTTTTTTNTTTTTTTTTCAAAATGAAAGTGAAATGCATGGCGCATCCGAATAAAATCCTGACAGATACGAAGTGTTCTGCCTTTTTCTCCATATCTCTGATTTTAGAGTGTGCCTCTAGCAGGCTTACTCGAAGGCGACACAAGTTGATGACCAATTTTGAAGGTCCTAACTCTGGGATGCCCAACGTTTATGGCTGAACTTGCGACTCCTGTACTCTGTACAGAACCCGATTATATTAATCAGTATAGATACAAGACACAACACAGTTTCTTCTCAAACAATGTCGACAACTCTACTGGTCATCATTGACCGATCATCTTAATTCTTGCACAGAAGATTTCACCAATATCAGCTTTCCACCCCTAGCCCCCACTCTCCATTCAATACTTGCTTTTAAATATTTTAGGTGATCTTTTTAAAAACCTACACAATTTCTGCTAATGATTCGTTTTGCGCCTAAGCCTGAACGAACCATGAACCTTTCCCGTCATCTCCGCCTACTGAGTACGCTCCGCCCACGACTTTTTTCTTTAGACTGCTGCAAACTACTCCTTCTTTCGTTCTTTCAACTCGGCTGTCGTAAAGCTGAGATGTTAACTTCTATAATAAGCGGCCTAAGCGCAAGAGTATGCCCAGGGAAGGCGCCCGCACATTCCACGTAATGCCTAGCATCGATAACCTTCACCGACTGTCGACTACTGGAGTAGTCTATCCAAATCCGAATTCTATGAAACAAAGCTTGGGAGAAATCCTCGGCCAACATAAGCAGAACTTGCCGGAGCCAAAGTCTTTTACCGAAAATCGCGTGGTATCGCTTGCATGGCTCGAACAGAATTTCCGAACCTAGTTAGATACAGCGTTTCAGTCTCTTCGTGCAGGAGGGTTACCACACTGTCTATTCCAGAGAGAGGGAATGAGATGGTATACTAGTTATTCAACTTCTAGGAAAAGATCACTGAAGCGAGAGACCCCGATCGCCTTTGAATACTCCAGGTCTTTTGGACGCTGTATTCGCTACTACTCACGCTGTTATTCCCAAATTACAGCCAAAAGTAGCATGGATCAGAAAGATAGTTGGAGACGAAATATCACATCATCAAACTCAAAACATTACTTGGAGAACTGTGAAATTAGGCAGCGAAAGCGAACGAGCAAGAACCCGACATAGGCAAAGCTAATTTCAGTGAAAAAGAACCTAATTCGGAATTCGTATTGACAATATGAATAATTAAGCTGCTGTGCAGTGTTCTCAGGGAATAGGTATCTACGAATTTAGCGATCTTCAAGCCACTGGGCACATGTTTGGCCTTTCATTTCTGTAAGGAAAAAGGGTCGGGGGCTAGATCTCGACTTGAAATTGCACTGAAAGGCTCCCTCGAGATTGTGCAGAAGTCAGAAATGGCCCGATGATGGAAGAAAAATCCAAGGGAAATAGCCAAAACCGCGAAACAAACTGTTGTCCCTGCGACTGATCCAGGTAGAATGGGAAACCGTGCAGATACTGATCGCTCCTCGGCGCTAATTCTTCTCGGGCCTAGGATAGAGTAGCAAAGTACTTAAGGCTACTGAAAATTAAGCTGTTCTGAAGTGTTGTTAGTCAACGCATTCGGAAGCCCTCTCGCTGGGAGTAGATGTCCAGCTTTTGTACTGGATTCTACCGACTAAAACCTCGGTAACCTTCCATCGCTTTTCTGTAGAGATGGTTCCCCACGAAATGTCTCTGGGGTGCTGGCTCTTCTTCGAGCCTTGAGGTTGATACTACCTGCATTGGAGGGCGCAAAGCTCATCGAACACAGAGACCTGACGGACCCTGTATTCAGAGCCATAGAGCCTTCGAAATCCCATTCAGCTTCTACCACTACTTGTGAAGACCGACCGATACCCACATCCGCCTACTCTTATCGTATGGAAGTCTGGCAAGAAATCGTTGACTTAGGGCAGCGAGTTCGCTCTAGTAGACAAGGGATGTCTGCTGGGGTATCTCTT